TGCTGGGAACTGAACAGGTCCTCCGTAAGAGAAGGACATGCTCTTAACCACTGACCTCCTTCCTGCCTTTTGACCAGGAGCATGAAGGTATGAGATTGACATTGTGAAGGGGAAAAGGAAGGCAGTCTGTCCCAAATAGTTCTTCTTCAGAACATTTTCTATGCCAAAACTGTACTGCAGCCTTGAACAGTTTTCTCCATCGGTGCCTCTCCTGTGGAAGTCAGTGCATAATTACTTCTTGTGGGAAGATTAATGACTTTGGCCTTTCTATATTATTCTCTCTGTCCTATCTCTTGAGCTGCCTGCCTGTCAGCACCCAGGAACCTTAATAGATGCTATTGAGAACCTTAATGGATGCTATTAAACTAATATGGAAAGGTGAACTGAAAAGAAATATCACCAAAAGATACAGGAAATGGAACTTCAGAATTGGTTCTAAATTCTTGGTCTCTTTTCAGGCTTCTGCTTATCTTATTTTTTTACCTTGCTACGTAGATGATCCCAGAGAGGTCCAGTAAAAAAATGTCCTAATTCAGAGATTTAAGAATTGATCCAACTTATGTTGTAGCCATGGAGACATTGATGACCTTAACTTTTCACATCCCTGCACTTTATTCTCCCTGTTGTTGACAGTCTCTGTTTTGGGGCCCTAGGTATAAGAAAAAGATAGCAAGTGAGTTATTTTCTGATTTTAATTTTCTTGCAGAGTGATAAATGAAGCAATGTGAATTTTTATTTCTTTGGTTTTGTCTTAGGGTTTGATAGGGTTTCTCTGTGTAGCCCTGGCTGTCCTTGAACTCCCTCTATAGACCAGGCTGGCCATCTGCCTCCGCCTCCCAAGTGCTGGGTGCACCACCACCACCTGGCGCCATCTAGACTACTAGGTGTGTATCACAGTGCTACTTATAATGCATTATGGCTTCATGTAGATTCTAATTGCACCCAAATAATAATTACAGAGCTGGTATTATAATTAAACACTGTGATTCTCTGTGATCATTCTTTAGATTTCTGTTGGAAAGGAAAATTTCTTTGCTTACCCATACTTCCCTTCTAATTCAATGCATAATAAAGTAAAGCTAACTTCATGCAGAGACACAGAGTGCTGCTTGGTGACTCCTAACCTGTGAGTGTGGTTTTGGTGTATATGTGTTAATGTTATATGTTATAATGTTAATATGTGTTAATGAAACCCTGAGCTACGAAAGCTGGAGATGTAGCCCAGTCAGTAGAGTGAGTGCTTATCTGGCATGCAGCAAGCCCTGGGTTCAAACCCCAGTACTACATAAAACAGGGCTTGTTGGCACCTATCTGTCTGTAATCCCAATGCATAGATAGTAGAGGCAGGGGGATCAGAAATTCAAGGTCATCCTCAACCACACGTTAATTTAAAGGCTGGACTAGGATTCTCCAAAGGGGGAAAAAAATCTGTGGAAGTGGGTGTGGTGGCTTATATATGTAATTTCAGGACTATGGAGGATGGAATATTGAGCAGATAAATTGTGATAAATTTCAGGCTGGACTACACAGCAAGAGCTGTGACAGCCTAGACTAGAGTGAGCCTTACCTCATACCACCAAAAAACAGTTAATTATTAGCCAGCTAGAGCGGCACACACCTTCAATCCCAACACTCTGGACACAGAGGCAGGGGAATCTCTGTAAGTTTGAGGCCAGCCTGGTCTACACAGTGCTGCACAGAGAAACCCTGTCTTGAAAAACAAACAGTAACAAAATTCTGAGGTATAGCGTTTCCACTAACATTTTTGTTGAGGTGTTCAATAGCAAAGTTTAGTGTGGCAGACTGCTCAAAAGCAGCAGTGACATTTCCATCTTACATCTGATCTTTCCTGTGTTTCTCAGTGCAGATTTAAGGTTTGACTCTTATCTACAGCATATTAGTATGCCTTTCTGGAATCAGAGAGCAAGAGTAGATGTCTTTCTAGTGACTTCTGTGCCTGATAGTGCTACCTCGGTTGTGGCATGGATTGTTAACAGAGCGTGTACAAGCAAGGCACTCTGCAAGTTCACAGGAGTTTTTGCTGATTGTTTTGGGAGGTTTGTTGATTGGTTGGTTTGACTTTCTTTGGGATCCGGGAGGTATTGAAGCGGGGCTTACCACAAACTCCTTTGTAGCCCTGACTGGCTTCTCGCTCACAGTGATCCACTAGCCACAGCCTTCTAGATACTGGGATTACAGGTATTAGCCACCACACCCAGCTGTGCTCTAGATTAGATCAGTCTTTGTATCCAAGGAAGAATACCTTGAAGGAACTTATGTTGGAGTGTATATATTGACTGATACTGCGCAGTCTTAGTTCTTTCTTATAAAAAGGACAGAGATGCAGAAGTAGCTAGAGTGCAGATGGTCGATATATTCTGTTCCTGACTTTTTTTTTCCTACCAGTACCTCTCAAAGCTATATTCCAGCACTATAAAGTTTACCTTCAACCCTATGGAAAGTGTGTGTGTGTGTGTGTGTGTGTGTGTGTGTGTTCCTCTATTGCTCTCCCATTTTGTTTTGTACGAGGTCTCCAACTAAACCCACAGTTTGCTGTTTTGACTAGCACAGCTGATCAACAAGACCCCAGGAATCAACAGTCTATTTCCACTCCACTTTCCATTGCTGGAGTTAAAAGATACACACCACCACCACACCCAGCTTTTCTATGTGTGCTGGGGATCCGAACTCAGGTTCTCATGTTTATACTCACTGAGCTATCTCCCCAGACCCTATGTATAGGGTTGTTTGTTTGTTTGTTTGTTTGTTTAATTAAGACAGGGTCTCACTGTGCAGCATTGGCTGGACTGGAACTCACAGATATCTGCCTGCCTCTATCTCCAGAGTACTGGAATTAATTTAAGGGATGCACCATCATGCCTGGCTTGTGTGGAAAGTTTAAAGGGTCTTTTGAGGAACCACCACATCACAAGAAGAAATTACAAATTTGTAATTTTTTTTTTTTCAAGAGAGCAGAGCAGAATACTCATCATATAACTTGCACTTTGTTTCATTTTATGAAAAAGGTAATGTTGGGGCAGTGTGAGTAGAAAGATGTGGATAGCTTTTTTGGGCAGCTCTTTGGGGACCAGAATTAGTCAAAGAATCTATGAGTGAACATTTTATGAACTCTGAACGTGTTGGTTGATCTGCAGTAGTGATAACTTTCTAAACTAAGAAGTCAGAGCCAGCTACAAAAAAATGGAGGCAGTATCTAAACAGCTTTGAGACTTATTTTTTTCCAAGTCTAGGAGGGTGCATGTTGGGGAGAGGTCGTTTATAGGCAGAATGTTGGCCATGCACTAACTTAACCCCAGGACAGAGTTCATTGCAGAGCTGACCAGGAGCTTGGATCATGGTTGTATGTTTCTGTCTCTAAAAGTCTCACTATTCAAAGACCATATTTACCATCTTTATTAGTCTCATCTATTGATTGGGACTTGCCACTCTGAAGAACCAGATTTAAGCCAGCTGAAGAGTCTTTCATAAGGGGAAAGAAACCAAATCCATAACTCACTTTCTAGGCTTGCTGATTAGTGTCCTGTTGTCCAGAGGAAATCAGCTCATGTGTATATTAAGTACTTCCGGGAGAATCTGGCATCCTCTTCTGTCCTCCAAGGACACCCACACACAAACTCACACACATAATTAAAAATAAAGTAAGGGGAGGGATTGGAGAATTTCGCTCAGTGGTAAAGCTCACGTCGTTCAAGCACAAGGCTCTGGGTCTGGTCCTCAGTTCTGGGGGAATAATGTTTAAGTAAGTAAGGCGCTTCCCAGCAGCCACATGGGAACTCATAACCATCCATAACTGCAGTTCCAAAAGACCTGATCCTTTCCTAGCAACACATACATGGTGTATACATATATGTCGGCAAAATACTCAGACCAATACAATAAACATTTTTAAATCTTTTTTTTTTTAAAAAAAATAAATCTTTAACATAAATAACAAATGACCACCATCCACCTTGTTACTTCCAAGTATTTTATTCTGGAACTTGAATAATTTATGTTCTGTGAGATTCTAGCTTTCAAAGTAGATTACTAGTGTTCAACTGTTCGGTGTGTGCATAATCAATTGTGTCTTCAGGCTGGTATGAATTGACTTGTGCATAATAGCATCACCTCCTATGTCTTACAGACAGATTGGTTTTAGTGTCATTCAAATATGCTATACTCACTGACCAACCACTGCTACTCTAAGTTTCAGAAATTCCCATCAGATTGCTCCCAGCCCTCCTACAATCTGTAAGCTTTCACCTAACTATTGTTGTATTAAAGCTTCTAGGATAATTAGGAATAATGGCATCCCTAAATCTGGGTTCTCTTTATCCCCAGCCTGTATTCATTCATTTTAACCTGATAGATTGAGTGCTAGTAGGAAGTACAATGGTGTCAGTAATGTGTACGTCATAAGCTGGGAAAATAGAAGTCTGTTTGCCATTTTCTTGGATTTGGTTTTGCTTTGTTCATGAAGTGCAAACTGGAATTCAGGTTCTTCCTGCCTCAGAGGTGGAGGCAAAGCAGGTCTTTGTGAGTTTTAAGGGAGCCTGGTCTTCATAGAGAGTTCCAAGCCAGTCAAGGCTACCCCGGGTGCAACCTTGGATGGGGAGTGGGGAGGCATATGCAGAAATATGCAGGCAGAAGTATGAGTTCAAAGCCAGCCTGGGCTACAAAGTGAGAAACTCTCAAATAAAAGAAAAAATAAAGCTAATCATGATAACATGTGTTTATCACCCATCTTTGTAAGATTAGGAGTTCAAGGGCATCTTTTGCTAGCTACATAGGGAACTTGAAGCCATCCCGGGTCACCCTCTTTTAAATAAACAAAGATAAGTAAATAAATACATAGCTTCTAGTCTAAGATGTTTGTAGTGGTAGCAGGAGTTAGAACTTGAGAGAAAAGACAAGCAGGTCTATGTTAAGCATAGGACAAGCAGGACATAGTCCTCTAATGGTCTTCTTGTAGCTCAGCTATACTTTCTCTTCTCTTACAGATGGAGTCCCCAGTCTCCACCCCAGGGGTGCTGCCGCTGCATCTGTTAGTGCCAGTGGTCAATAACGACATCTCATCTCCCTGTGAGCAGATCATGGTCCGCACCCGATCAGTTGGAGTCAACACATGTGATGTGGCTCTAGCCACAGAGCCCGAGTGCTTAGGTCCCTGTGAGCCTGGAACCAGCGTCAACCTCGAAGGCATCGTGTGGCAGGAAACAGAAGATGGTAAGTGCATCCCTGCTCAGTTGCCTCTGCAGAAGCGTCCCTAGAGGTATAAATATTGCCGCCAAAAAAAATGGAAATACTGCCAAGCACCCGGAAGAGTGTTTGTTGTCCCCCTCCTCTTGGCCATGCCCACGCAAAAGCTGGAAAGAGTGGTAACGTACTATTTAGTGTTCTTACCATTCCTGGAGATGATTGTTGTTTGTTGTAGTTCTGGAGATTGCAAGTAGGCCTTGTGTACACCCTTTGTTCTAGTGCCAACTTTTTAAATTATTTCCCTTTTTTAGCTGGCACACAGTCATTTAATAGGTGCTTCCTGTGTCGTTTAAACTATATCTGTATTCTATACCCTCCTTAATGTTTTATATTGGGGATTTAGATGACAGGTAGAATTTTCAATCTAACTAATAAAAAGGCATTTGAGGGAATCAAGGAAATGGAGACCAGTAATGTGTGTTGGTGATTTACCAGCATATCTATGCTAAGGCATCAGATAAAATGGAACTGAAGTTACAGATAGTTGTGAACTACCAAGTGGTTGCTGGGAACTGAACCAGGGTCCTCTGGAAGAGCAGCCATTGCTCTTAACAGAAAACAGTGTGTTCTTTAAGGATCTTCTTGTAACTCAGCTAGTACTTTTTGCTGTTTGAGCCATCTCTCCAGCCTGTATGTTTGTTTGTTTAAGTATAAAGGCAGATTTATTGAGGGCAGCTGTTGGCTGGGTAGTTTCACCAGCCTCAGAGAACAGGGCCAGGGAAACTACCATGAAGACATGGGGGTGGGGGAAGTTGGAATTGATTTTATTCTTTTTAAAAAACATGGTCTCACGTAGCCCATGGTGACCTCAGACTTGATATGTAGCTAATGATGACTTTAAATTCTGGTTCTTCCTGCCTCTACCTCTCAATTACTGGGATTCCAGAAGTGTACTACTTTACTACACCTGACACACTTAAATTGACTTAATGTTGGCATGGTGAATTTTATGTATCTCCAGGTATACCACAACAAACTCCTTCCTCCCACTGGTTACCTCATTGCCCAGCCCCCTACACATTTGATATATCATTCGCTCAGTGCAGTCAGTCTTTATGGGCCTTGTCAGTGGGGAAATGTTCACACCGTCTTGTTTGAGCCCTTTACCTGGCTTGCTATTAGCTGCCATACAGACTTTTTACATGTTCTATTTGCCCTGGAGATCAGAAACTCTTCTGTTGAAATTTCTCAAACCTAAACAGAAATGGCAAAGGATAAGTACAAAGGCACTTATCCAGTTACTCAGATCCCTTGATAACATTTAGAGGAAAGAACCAAGTTTTCAACATGGGAAAGGTGGGTGGCACACACACTCTTGAGGCAGAGGCAGTTGGCTCTCTGCATTCCAGGACAGCCTGTTCCTCAGAGTGAGTTCCAGGACAGCCAGGGAGACTCTGTCTCAAAAAAAGGGAAATTCTCATCAAAGTACCTGTGGTTGAAGCACACAGGCATGAGTCCTGTTGTGTCTCCCCATCAGTACCAAGACCAGAGTCCTCACTCTGTACTTAGAGACCCATAGGAACACAGCTACTTATCTCTGCTACTTGTTAGTCTGCATTTCATGCTGGAGAGTCTACCAGCAGGCTGTTCTCATAATTGTTTTTGTTGTCACTCGCCATTACCGAAAGCCCTCCATGCAGTAGATGCTAATGTATTTCAAGTAAAAAGGTTATAGAAAATAATACAAAAAAATATACTCTGGATGTGTATTTACAGTGTGAAATCTGGAAATAAAAAATTACATGTCTAATTTTTAAATGTGAGGCTGAGAAATGAGTCATTAAGTGCACTGGTTGCTCTTCTAGGGGACCCAAGTTTGATTCCCAACATCCCTGTGGCAGCTTATAACCATCTGTAATTCCAGTCCCAGGAAAGCCCTGCTTTTGGCTTCCTTGCGCACCAGGCACATGCATAGTTCAGACATACACGAAGGAAAATATCCATACACATAACTTTGAAATAATAAATAAAATATAAAAAGATATTGCCTGCCTGTGGCCAAACATCTGAGCAGACAAATTGTGTTGGAATGACAAATGTATGTAAACAGCAGTACATTCATTCATTCATTCATTTAAAAGTATTTTAGGTATATAGGTATTTTGCCTGCATGTATATCTGTGTATTGTATGCAGTGCCCATAGAGGCCAGAAGAGAGTTTGGGAAAGGTTGTTACCCACTATGTAGGTACTAAACGTTGAATCCAGATTCTCTATAAGAGCAGCCAGTGCTCTTAATCACTGAACTATCTTTCCAGTCCTGAAGAATCAATTTGATAATTCTAGAGTTGGTCTGTTGCTATTCTGTGAAAATAAGTGTTTTGCTTGCATGTATGTATGTGGACCATGTGCACAGTGCCTGTGGAGGTCAGAAGAGGGTGTTGGATCCTCTGTGGTGGGAGATTATATGCTCCATGTGGTATTGGGGCCTGGAACCTGGAACCTGGGTTCTCTGCAAGAGCAACAAGTGCTCTTAGATTTGAGCAATATCTCCAGCCATCTCTGTTAGATACTACCAATCTTCAGGGATGCCATACTCTCAGAAACATGACTATAAAGAGACCTCAGCGGCAGATAAGGAAATAAGGGTGTTGACTAGGCAGCCCATCGCTGGCTCTGCTGCCTTCCCAGCTGTTTCCCAGAGCATTTCTGCTTGTGGATGATTTATGTGCTATGTTCCTTTGAAAAAAAATTCTGCTATTAAAAACAAAACTCTGGGCACTAGAAAGATGACTCAGCAGTTAAGAGCACACTGACTGTTCTTCCAGAGGTCTTGAGTTCAATTCCCAGCAACCACATGGTGGCTCACAACCATCTGTAATGGGATCTGATACCCTCCTCTGGTGTTTCTGAAGACAGCAATAGTGTGTGTGTGTGTGTGTATGTGTATAATCTTTAAAAATGAATAAAAATGTATTAAAATTATCTAATGAAGCCCAGACATGAGTAGTGCATATGCAGTGGTCTAGCACTGGGAGGCTAAGGGAGAAAGAATTGCAAATACAAGGCCAGCTTACGCTGCTAAGTTAGCAAGACCTTATCACAAAATATAATAGCATAAATAAATAAAATTTAATTTAACAGTTGAATATTGCTAATAGCTTAGAATTTTAGAGGGGGTGTGTGTGTGTTTACATATGTGAAAGTATGTGTTCTCAAAAACAAAACAGCACAATTAGATTGGCAAGATGGTTCAGTACAATCAAGCCTGACAACCTGAGCTCAGTTCCCAGAACCCACAGTGCACAAAGAACCAAATCCTGAACATTGTTCTCTGACCTCCACATGCACTGGGTAGTTAGCACCCACACTCCCACATCCTCCCACAATAAAAATAAATCAGATTATATTTATTTATTTTATTTATGTGTTTGTTTGTTAAAGAACAAACAGTGATTTTGTGAGGAGAATAGTGAGGGCTAGTGAGGAGCTGACATCTATACAGACCCAGGGTGACTTCTGTTCTACAGCTTCTGATAGGCAGACTTCTGGCCCTGTTTCAGACTCTTGGGTTGAGCCTTGCTCTTTTGTCTATGGGTTGGCCTTTTCTCCACTGGGCCGTGGTTTACTGTGAAGTTTAGCTTGCTTGTGTAACTCCTCTAAGAAGCTGCCCAGTGCTTCTCAGTGCTCACTCACTCACAGACCTGCTGTGAGTCTTTAGCCTTCTCAGAGGGGAAAGAGCCCTCCGTGACTCTTTTTTAAAGAAACAGGTAGTTAACCTTTATGATTCTGGTGTAGGAGAGTTTGTGTGTACTGTGAAATGCTGAACTGTCAATATCTGTACTTAGCTGCTGGCTTTTCTTACATTGATTACCTTTCCTCCCTCAGTCTTCCTTTAGACAGCACTCGCCTGGAGAAAGGTTATGTAATGTCCAAGCTTTCTCCACTACTTAGTCTAGTAGCCATTGTCTGGCACTACAAACCTTGATAGCAACAGACCACCACATGGCAACAGCGGCCACACAAAGGAAACATTAGGTAAATCAATACCTACTTTCTTCCACCCCACCCACACCAAAAAAAAAAGACAACACATTCTTCCCATCTAACAGCTTCCTCCCAGGGTGCTTCACAGCGCGATGTGTTTCTATACCCGAATGGATTGTGTTATCTGTCTACTATCATATAGTTAATCCTAAAGCCCTAAAGAAAAAACTGAATCATAGGCTCTTTTGAGTTTTATATTATGAATTGCAAAATAGAGTACTAATCTTCAAGGGAAAGAGATATACTCCTTTAGTGTAACCGCCTCTTCTCACCCCCATGCCACAGACGTATGCTGGCAGAGGACAGGGAGACCTTGCATGTGGCCAGGCTGTAGGCTTTTGAATAGGTAAAGTTGTTTTGAAAATTCCCCTCAGACTGTGTGGAACACAGGCCAATTTTGTACCAGTGTCATCCTTTACGAGTCATCTAGTGGCTGAAGCTGAAGTGCTCAGGTAAGTGGAGCCTGGGCCATAAGCGGCTGGGCCATAAGCACAGCTCTGATAATGGCCTGGGTCTGAGCGCTAGCCTAGTCCTGACTTACCTTCAGAGCTTCGGTGTTCTCTTGCTCTGTTGATAAGGTCATTTTGCTCATCTGTGTTATGCTTTCCCCTTGCTAGAGAGAGATGGTTGGACTACAGGATTTGTGTACTCCTTGTAGAGCTCAGTGTTTATGCTCTGTGATCACTTGTGTGGGACAGAAGACAACATAGTCCTTGTCAGGTTTTTTTGTGCTGAGATCTAGATGTCAAATTCATTGGTCTTAGTGCTCACACTGCTAAAAACAAGTCTTGGGCCTGCACCACTTAGAAAGCTGCTGTGGCAATGATGGGCAGAAGCTATCAACAAGCCTGGCAACTAGCCCTTTCTCCCAGGGCAGCAGTTTTAAACCAGTTCAGGCAGAGCTTTGCTCCCACACTGCTGCTACATGTTACTGTTTCTTAATGTGGGGAGAGGGAGGGAGGGAAAGAGGGTGGGTCGAGA